AGTAATCGTCAACTGTGTGACAGCTGTGAGCTCAAGTGTAAAACAAAAACATCATCCACACGCGAGAGAGGACGGATGCTCTCACACACAGAGAGCGGAGAAGGAACACGGGATTCACAACAAATACAAACTAGGGCGTCGAAGTACATGCTCGGCCTAGCGAGCTGGCCTTCATAGGGCTCGGCTGCGGGTGATGGCGAAAACTCGCCGCCGCGACCGGAGAAATGCGCGGGCGTCAGAGCCAAGGCGGCTCTGGGAGAGGCGACGGTGCATCGAGAGGCGCCGACGCCCAGAGACAAAGTATCGGCTCTCGGTGAGGCGTGGCAGGCTGGTGCCCGGCGGGGATGCAGCCAGCATATCTATCGCTGCGTTTGCCCCTGTGAGGGCGGCAGCCACTGCCGCCCCTCCGAAGGAGATGGGGATTCCACTCGCAAGCCTCGGAGGCTCGTCGGCGGCGAGGGAAAAGAGTGCGGCGTTGGCACCGGAGAGCGCGGCGGCCATGTAACTGTCTGTGGTGGGCTGGCGCGAAAGCGCGGTGAAGCCTGGCGCGGAGCACATGAGGAAGGCTGCAAAGGCTGCAATCGCCATGGAAGGCTTGACAACTCGAAAGCGTTGTTTCCAGGCAATGTCCGCAAGAAGAAGAAAAAGAAGAACCTAGAAGGAAAAAACAACACTCGAGGAAAGAAGGGACGTCGCCAGATAAACTTAACGAAAAGAAAAGAATCTACCCTTATAAGTCTCTCGTGTCGGCGCCGACGCTCTTGGTTTAACCGTAGAACGTCCCAGCCGAAATCCGCCCGCCACGATCGATCAGTCCACAATCGTCGGCCCGCAGCGACCCGCAGCGATATACATACATGGATGCCGCCGCCCCCCCGGCCCCTACGGCCGACGCGCCGATGCACGACCGGCCTCCGTCGGACGGCTCTCCGGCCTCTCCGGCCGCTGACGCGGCCGCCCATGCTGCTGCCGATCCGGTCCCTCTCACGCTCAGCGATATCCGCACAAGCTACGACAACTTCGAGGTCGCCGGCTTTGGCCAGGTGCAGAAACCAACCTGCTTGCCTCCATGTTCACGCTTCGCGCCCCTTCCCCCCCTCTGACGCCGCCGTATGACCGTAGGTGAGGGGCACGACTACCCGCCTGGAAGGCGCTCTCATCAGCAAGTCACCCAGGCACCAACTCCTGGGCGTTTACGCTTGACTACGAAACCATGCAGTGGATGCAGCTCGATCAAAACGGCGACGCCAACAGCTGGTCCCTGGGCGAGTTCCTCGCCCAGGATGAGGTGCGAGTCATGATGCTCGACCCAGCGTGCACCAAGTCGCTCACATTCCGTGAGTTCGTCAACGGGCCGAACACACTCTCCAAGTCGACTGCGATCTCGAACTCCGACAACTGGACCGGTGCACCGCCGCGGAGGACGATGGCTCCCTCGACGACATCCCTTCATCGACGGACGCCTTCACCGCCGCCGGCCCTGGGCCATCCAGCGCGGCCTCCGACGGCCTGCACGTGATCGAGCGGGTACAGAAACGGTGGCTGCCGCAGCTCACACCCTAATCGATCTGCCTTAGGCACGGAGCCAACGGAGCCATCGCGCATGCCCGCATCGCGTGCGGCTCCGAGGTCTCCCGCCGAGACCGGCTCGGCGCGGCGCGTGGCCGCACGCCGCCGTTGAAATGGCGAGATAGGACCGAGGGGAGAGCGCCGGCCACATCGAGCGAGCGCTGACGTGTAAGGTGTCTGTGCTGCTCCGGTGTGTGTGGGATTCTGCCTCCCCCCCCATCTGTGCGGCGAGTTGTTTGCGGCGCGATGCCCGATCGTGCGCGATAGCCTCCCATTGTGCGTGGTGTGTCGGTTGTCGGGGTCGTCCGGAGCGTGTGGCGGCGCCGTTGCATGCAGCGACTGCTCCACGTGCCACGACTGCTTTGACTGACGTGACTGACTGATGAGTGCCACGAACTGCTTTGACTGACGTGACTGACTGATGAGTGCCACGAACTGCTTTGACTGACGTGACTGACTGATGAGACATGAGTGCTGATGGATGATCTCCGACAACCCAAAACCAAAATGCAAATGAGTGGCCCACTTTGACGTGCAGATCCTGCGTCTCTCACTGCCCGAACAACAGAGACGGGTACCGCCGCAGGTCCCACACTAGTTTCTAGAAAGAAACCCACCCACTCGCACGGCCGTGGCGGGGGCGCAGCAGCCAGCAGCAAAGTCCTGCGCATGAAAGAGCGGCCGTGCGAATGAAGCGCCTCTCTCGCCGCGTGACTGCCCGCGCCGCGTCGCACATCGCCGCCAACCACGGAGGTGGCGGAGTCGCTCTGTGGCAGCGCGTGCCGGGCAGCGACCGGTGGCGCTCGCTCGACGGCGGGCCGTCGCCGCCGCGGGCGGGCCCATCCCGCCGCTCGGGTTTGCGGGAGGCGCAGTCCGCGCTCGAGGCGGTGCTTCTGCCGTGCGACTTCCCGCACTCGGTCGGGCCGGGCTACCTGCGTTACGTCCAGTGGACCTCGATCGGGCTCGTCACGGGCAAGGTCGAGTCGATCCTCGCGACGCAGGCGGCGCTCTTTGCGGTGGGCGTCGGCGCCGGGGCGGTGCCGATGGCGGCGGCGATCCAGTGGGTGCTCAAGGATGGAGTCGGCCATGCGGCGGCGATCGGCTACGCCACCGTCGTCAACACGCGTTTCGACGCCGACGCCCGCCGGTTCGGGAGACACTTCCGAGACACTTCCGAGACACTTCCGAGACACTTGCGAGACACTTGCGAGACACTCCCGCGGCCTCCACGTCGCCGCTCGCGCATGAGCCACGCCCACGGGACTGACGGGCCCGCGAGTGTGTCCGCAGGTACCGCTTCCAAGCGACGGCGGGCCACACCGCCGCCGACCTGGTCGCTTGCACGATGCCTCTCGCCCCGAAGACTGTCGCGCTGGTCGGCCTCGAGGTGAGGAGTCGCCACCAGTGACTGGCCACTGGCAACTAGGCACCGGCGACTGGTCACGACTCTCCACTCCCGCCGCCGCACCACCGCAGGTGCCCTCCTTCCTCCTCCTCGGCTCGCTCTCCTCCGCCATCTCCTCGGTCGCCGGCGTCGCGCAGGCGGTGGCGCGCGCTCGCATCATGGCGTCCTTTGCGCGGCAAGGCAACCCCGCCGACGGCACGCCTCACTTGTTCCTTGAGAGTGATCGTCCACTCCTCGTCGACCAGGCAACCTCGCCGACTGCACGCGCGCGGGCCAGTCACAGGCGAAGCTCATGTCGCTTGTCGGCACCGCAGCCGGCATCGGCCCCTCGTGGCTGTCGGCCAAGACAGAGCTCGAGACGCACGAGAGGAGAGCTGTGAACAGGCATCGGCCTCTCGTGGCTGGTCGGGCCGCAGCCCGCCCACGTCATCGGGCTGATGCTGCCCCTCTCCCTCGTCTCTCTCTACTCGGTGTACCGCTCGTGCGATCACATCGTCCTCACCTCGCTCAACCTGCAGGCGCACCACCACCTCCGCACGCACCTCCGCACGCACCTCCTACAACACACCCCTCCTACACACCTCCCACACACCTCCCACACACC